GGAGCAATAAGAAGAGGGAAAGGTGAGAGGAGCTGCTCCAGAAAAGAAGACATCCGGTCTGCAACAGAACAATGTTGAAGTGAATGCTAAAAAGAACAAACAAAAAACCTCTGGTAATGGAGATGGTGGCAGTACCAGTGAAACACCTCTTAAGAAGAGGGCCCGGGTTGATCCTACTGTTGAAAATGAAGAAACATTATGAACAGAGTTGAAGTTGAAGATCCCTGAAGAACTAAAGCCGTGGCTTGTTGAGGACTGGGATCTAATTACACAGCTGTTCTATCTTCCTGCCAAGAAGAATGTGGACTCCATTCTAGAGGACTATGCAAATTATAAGAAATCCCGAGGAAACACAGATGATAAGGAGTATGCTGTTAATGAGGTTGTAGCAGGGATAAAAGAATACCTCAATGTGATGCTGGGCACTCAGCTCCTCTACAAATGTGAGAGACCACAGTACGCTGAGATCCTTGCTGATCACCCTGATGCACCCATGTCCCACGTGTATGGAGCAGCACATCTACTGAGATTATTTGTCCGAATTGGAGCAATGTTGGCTCATACACCTCTGGATGAGAAGAGCCTTGCTTTATTACTGAATTATCTTCATGATTTCCTCAAGTATCTGGCAAAGAATTCGGCAACTTTGTTTAGTGCCAGTGATTATGAAGTGGCCCCTCCTGAGTACCATTGGAAAGCAGCGTGAGGCGCACTCACCGGTGTTTGGATCTCTGTCGACATGTTTTTGTTCCTAGTCTTTCTCTTGCACAAATGATGTACTTTGAAGATGTTAGTGTATAAGAGTTGTTTGTTTTGTTTGATTTTAAACAGAAAATAAAAGGGGTTACAGCTCCTTTTTTCTTTTCATTTTTTTTTTTTTAATTTCAAAGTTGCTACCAGTGTATTCAGTGATGGATAACAGAGAGACATGGTGGAGTGTTTTATTGCCTAGTTGACAAAGCTGCTTTTGAATGCTGGTGGTTCTATTCCTTTGACACTAAACACTTTAATAATATGTGTTAATTCTATATGCCAAAATGCTCTGATTCCTAGTGTCAAAGGTCCAATTCAGTGTATATAACTGAACACACATCCATTTGTGCTTTTTTTTTTTTTTAATGGTGTTTAAAGAACCCTTCCTTTGCAAGACATCCATGTTGTTCCTTAGGCATTTACCTTTGCTCAAGTTGTTGCAGGATGGTGAATTGTTTCATGGTTTTTGTATTTGTGTCTAATGCACGTTTTAACATGATAGACGCAATGCATTGTGTAGCTACAGTTTTCTGGAAAAGTCAATCTTTTAGGAATTGTTTTTCAGATCCTCAATAAATTTTTTCTTTAAATTTCAAATAAATAAATAAATAATAAAAGAAAAAAGGCTGTAGAATGTATAGAGGAAAAATCATATGTAGGGATAGAGGGAAGAAAGTTTTGGCAAACCCTTTCTATCAATGACAAATTAGAAATAATAACTTGAGGTAAAATGGGGAGTGGGTACCATGCTCCTGTCCCAGTCATGTCGCCCTCACCTCTGCCTGCGTGGTGCTGGTAGCCTCCAGGGCTTCTCTCTGCCTCCGACCTCCCCACTGTAGTCTACACTCAGCATAAGCCTTCAAGATGAAGTCAAACGGCCACCTGATTTCTCTTCCAAGTGTTCTCCCGCCCTCACTGCTGCCAGTCTGGTCTGAATGACCACTTCCTGGGCTTGGATTATGGCAGGAGCTCCTTAACTCGTCTCCTCTCTTCCACCTGCCTGCCCCTCAGCCCACCGGTGAAAGTGCCCCCCCCCCCCATAAATCGGATCATGTCACTCTGCTCAGAAGCCTCCAGTGGCTTCCCATATGACTCAGAGCCAACCCAGATGACTCAGAGTGAAGTCAGAGCCCACTCTGAATGACAGCGCACCCTGGAGTTTGTCTCCTTAGCCACACAGTTCCTTAACTGCGCCCTCCACTCCCGGGGCTTCTTCCCCTGTCTGCCAGCCACGCTCTGCACTTCCTCAAGCAGGAGCTCAAATCCACTTCACAGGGAGGTTTTCACTGACCGCCCCATTTCACACCCTAACACCTCACAGAGCCTTGTCCTGCTCCTCCACTTTACAGTTTTCTCTTAGCATTCATCAGCTGCTCATAAAGAATTCCCAGTTTAAGAACTCCAACTGCCTACCTGTCCTGCCCAAACATACATATACTAGAATATAAATTGTGCAAGGAAAGGGATTTTTATCTTTGTTTGCAGTTGTTTTTCCCAGCACCTAGAACAGTGCCTGGAACACTGCTGATGTTTAGTAAACAGTTATTCAATGAAGAACAACAGTTAAGTAAACTGGGTTATACCAAGATGACGGAGGATCAGGTGGTCAGAAAGAGGAGGTACTTGTGCTACGTATCAATACGGAAAAGGCAGATGCCAGCCCCGGGTTGTGATCAAAACTACGGAGGCATGACTTTTGCAACACTATTCTTTTTCTTCAATAAGATTCCATTGCAGGGGCTGGTGAGATGGCTCAGTGGTCTAAAGCACCTACTTAGAACAAGCTAAGCTAAGCAAAACACAGGGACAACGGTTCAATCCCCCAGCACCACATGCCAGACAGCCCCGCCCCCTGGTGGGCTGAGCTGGCCACACACACAAAAAAAAAAAAAAAAAAAAAAAAAAAAAGATTCTATTGCAACACTTTAGGTACCCAAGATGCTCACCGTCATCACAGAGAATTTGTACCTGCACGTGCTGTAACTTGGTACTTTTTCCCCATTCCCCTACCCTCCCTTCAATTCCTCCTGTCCTCCCCACTTACAAAAGCTTAGTTTCCATTTTTCTTCCTTTTCTCACTTTCTTTAACTTTTCCCTTCTTTCCTTTCTCCTCCCCCAGACCCCTCCCATTTTGAACATTTTCTTCCTGCTTCCTAAACCTAGTATACATTTTGATCCATATGGTTTCTCACATCCGAGAAACAAAGTGGTAATCACATGTATGTACAATTTATTTCACTTAAGAATACAGTCTCGGGGGCCGGGAAGATGGCTCAGTAGAATAAGTGCTTCCTTGCCAAGCACAAGGGCCTGAGTTCAATCCCCAGTTCCACCAAAAACAAAGAATAGAGTCTCAAGGTATACCCAATTTAGTAATGTCTCAAGCTTATCCTTCTTTGGGGCAGAGTAGTACTCCTTTGTATGAAAAAACCCCACATCTTTATCCATTCACAGTTGATGGGCATTTGGGCTGTTTCCAAGATTTGGCTATTACAAACTATTCCACTGTAAACATGGTAGTGCATATATCTCTGTGGTATGATGCTTCTAATTCTTTCTATCTAGTTTGTCATGGGTTTTGTATACATCACTTTTACTCTCAGTGACACTCCTGCCTCAGCCTCCTGATTGCTGGGATTATCAGATGTGCGCCAGGACACCGGGTCTCTGCTACTGATGAGAATGCCTTTCTGGGCACAGAGTAATAGAGTTCCTTACTCTGCCGACAGGATGGAAGCTCTTATAGCACAGGAGGCATTGGCAAGGGCTCAATGCTTGAGGAACAAAAGATGATAATGAACAGAGAATAAATTGCATCTGTAATGCATCAGGTACCTCTCAGAACTTTACATATGCTCCTGGAAGCTCTATAAGTTAAGCCTATCTTCATTACAAAATTAATATTAAGGCCAGGCGTGGTGGTACACACCTGTAACCCCAGCACTCGGGAGGCTGAGGCAGGAGGATCATTGCGAGTTTGAGACCAGCCTGGGTTACAAAGTGAGCTTAAGGCCAGCCTGAAGTATACAGCCAGACCCTGTCTCAAAAAGACAAAAAAAAAAAAAAAAAAATTAATATTGAAGGAAAATATATGTATAATGAATAGTGACCCAAAAGTATACAAATGTTACACAGTGTTCAAGTGATGGGACTGCACAGGGCAGGCAGAGTCATCCTCAAGCCTGATCAGTCTCAGCCCCACACTCCCTGCCAGGGGCACTCCTCACATTCCTGTGCTTTCCGATTCTCAAACACAGGAAGCTCACTGCTGGGATTCAGGCATCTACTGTGCCTGAGCCTGCTTTTCCTTCACCTGGGTCTCCTACTTTTTCTTGCCTGATCTCCTTCCTGCTTAGTAAGGCCAAGGTAAAAGAGGTGCCTCACCTCTGACTCCTGTGACAGAAATTGTCACCCTGACTTGGTTCTGCTAAATGAAAAGCTCCTGAGGATTCTGCCTCGTCTGTCTGATTCACCCCTCAATCCAGGAAAACCTAGAAGTCAGGACTGGCTGTGTGTGATGACCACCTACCTATCTCCAATTATCTTTTTTTTTTTTTTTTTTTGTGGAACCAGGGATTGAACTCAGGCCCTTGCATTTGCCAGGGAAGCACTTATTTCACTGAGCCATCTCTGGCCTCCAATTATCTCTAAAACCTTCATGAAAACCATCGGTTCCAAAGCCTCACCAGAATAAAAATCTAATGTGTACAGAAAAAAAAAAAGTGATGGGACTGTAGGTAATTTATTTTTCGCTTCCAAAATTTTAATACTACAATTATATAATACTATGTGTAAATACTACACTATGTGTGTGCACAAGTGCACGTACGTGATTGTGTATAACAAAGCAATTTCAAAAACATGAATAGGCAAAAACAGCAACAGGAAAGTAGGGCAAGGTCTGGGGAAAGGAGAGGACCCGGAAGGCACCTGCAAGCCGAGACGCGACTCACCTAGGAGTTCAGGCAGGCAGTTGACAAAGCGAGCTCCAGCTAGGCTGGGCTGCCGCGGTGGAGGCCCCACCCCCGGAAATGCTTCCTTATCCGGAGGCCAACCGGCTGCGTTATGCAAACTAGGAGAGGGGCGTGGCATCTGGTGACGCCCGCTGTGGGCGGAACCACTCTGGTGAGGCTCCAGTTCTGGGGGCGGGGATATGATGCAGTAGATTGGCACTGATTGGCTGGGTTGGAGATGGGTGCACTACTTGGGGACCCCCCTGTCGAGGGGCGGTGCCTGCGTCTGAGCCTCTAGGAGAGGGAAGTTGCGGCGGGTCTCTGAGCCCTGCGTTGTGCGGCTTAAGTCTTCGGCTGCCTTGGCCCCAGAGGCGGAGCCGGAAGCGTTACGACTTGACCCCCGAGTCTTCCGATTTTCCAGGGGGCGGCCGTCTTCGCCTCCCCTTCTCCCCTTCTCCTTCTTAACCCGAGACCAAAGCTCTCGCCAGTCAGGGCGGGGCGGCGCAGCCCCAGCTTCGGCTCCCGGAAGAGGCGCCATCTCCCGCCTCCGCCATGGAGCCCACCGCGCCATCCCTCACCGAGGAGGACCTCACCGAGGTGAAGAAGGACGTGAGTAGCGCTTCTAGCCCGGGCGCCTTGGGGCGGGAGGGACAGCGGAAACGGAGCCGGGGGCCCTGGAGGAGCCGAAGGTCCAGCCACGCGAGGACAGCGGCGAGCCTTGCAAGCCAGGTGGCAGGGATCCCCCGTGACCCGTTGACCCACTGTAAGCCCTGGACGCAGGCTTGGAGTTACAAACGTCGCCCAGAGGATTTTCCTCACCGTCACCCTCTTGCCCTGCCCTCCGCCTCCCCTCCCGATTGCCCCGACCGCCCTGCGCTCGCGGAGCTGCGTTGTGAGGGCGCCGCGGTCAGTTTCCACCCCGAGTCTGAAAGCCAGGCCGCTGGCTCAGTGCGGTGCAGAAGCTGGAGCAGATGAAGGACCCCAAGCGGAGGAGCGGATATGTGAAACTCTCTTGCAAAGGGGGCTGGGGAAAGCTCAACAGCTGAAAGCAGCTTGGAATTCCCCTAGTGAGCAGACACCCACGTATTTAAATAGAGAGGGGTGAATCGTTGTAGCTGAGGATTGATTTACAGGTAAACGCTGGAAATATTGGATAGCCAAATTGTGCTCTTCTGCATGGATGGTGCTGTGTACAAAACTTTTTTTTTTTAAAGAATAGCTTTGTGAAGGTGCCCCCTGTTTCTTTTGCTTTTAGTTGTTTTGCCTGATGACACCCAAATGAACACCTTTAAACCACTTTCTGGGCAAATGAAAAACGCGACAGGAGCACAGTACCTTTACCAAATCAGCTTTGGGAACTTGACCTCAGCAATTTTTGAATGCTGGCCAGCTCACATTCCTTTCTCTTCCCTCCCCTGTAAAGTTTGTTGCTCTTTTTTTTTTTTTTTTTTTTTTTTTCTCATAACGTCGATTCGTCTCACTAGCAGAAGGAAACTGGATCTGACTAGAACTCGTGTCTTAGTTTCTTCGTTCAGCAGAGATCTTGTGCAGCACTTAGCAAATGGCAAGTAGTGGCCTTCTAACTGGGAGGATGCGAAAGATGAGGAGCAGGCCCATGCTTTGCGTTCTAGTTAAGAAAAGCTGGAATATTGTTAACTGTGGTAGGATGTGTTGTCTTATTCGAATTTCCAGTAAAACTGTGAACTTAAAAAGTTAGGCCTGGTATGTGCCAGATTTTGTCACGCCAATTTCAAATTTTCCGCTTTGCATCTTTACAACCTCAAGGGAAGACTGTTGTTTGCATTTTGCAGCTGTCAAAATAGAATTTGATAAGATAGATATACAGCTACTTTCTCTTAGTTCAATGAGAAGAAAGATTACTACTAAAAGTGTTTGGACAGTCACATCTGCATTTTGTACTGTGAATAACCACTACGAAGACAACAATATGCAATGTATTAATTATTGAAACTGTCCTACTAATTGGTTTTGAAACTGTCTCATTGCTATTTGTTTCTCAATAAAATTAAAATAAATAAATAAATAAAATAAAATGCAGTTTTATGCCTGTGGTGCAGAAACTGTAATATCAAGCCAGACCGTACATTTTAGTCAGTTCATATAACTAAATCCTTATTCAGTAATTCTATCTGATTCACTTTTCTACCTTAACTTTCCCCAAATAAAAAATTTTGTATTATGTAAAAAAAAAAAAAAAAAAAAAAAAAGAATTTGAGAGATGACTAGCCAGAAGAAATCAGACCTGTGTACAAATACAGATGCGAAGAGGGGCTTCCAGGCCTTTGTGCTTCTTGGTTCATTGATGTTATCCTTCTCCGTAATTTCAATTTACAGCTTTGTCAGAAATTCATTACCTGGAGGAAACTATGGTTGTATTTCAAAAGGCCTATGAAAAAGCTGTATTTTCCCCCCTTAGATATCTGTCATGTATTCAAAATGGTTCACAATCTTAGCAAGTTTAAAAACTTGTAGCTCAGATAGAACACTTGCCCAGCATGTTTGGGACTCTAGTTGCAGTCCCCAGCACCACAAAAAGGAGAAAGCTTAAAAATTGTCTTCCACAGGCCAGGCATGGTGCATGGTGGCTCACACCTGTAACCTCAGCACTAGGGAGGCTGAGGCATGAGGAGCTCCTTGAGTATAAGGTTAGTCCAGGCTACATAGTTCGAAGACAACCTGAACCAGATAGTCAGACCCTACCTCAAAAAAAAAAAAAAAAAAATGTCCTCCACATATTTGATCTTTCTCAACTCTAGGCTCTTATTTACAAATATGTATAGGAATCTAGTTTATATCCTGCAGTTCAGTTTGTGTTTTCACAAATTGAACATTTGTTCATTCCTTAAAGCTGCTTGCTGGGCCTTCTGCATGGTCTGTGTTGATGAATGGTGTTCAGTAGTCCCTTTAAGGACAGCTTTTTATCAGAGATTGTCTTGTCTGTGGTTTAGGTTACCTTTGGTTAAACATAGCCTGAAAATAGTTAATGGAAAATTCTAGATAGTAAGTTTTAAATTGTGTATTGTCCTAAGTAACATGATGAATCTTACCTCATTCAGTTTTCTGGCCAGGATCTCCTGAGAGTCTTGGTACTTAGTGTTGAAATAATGTATCACCATTCCCCATCCTGAGAACTCTGGCTTCCCTAGCTCTATTTGTTAGTTGTTGTTGTTTTTTTGTTTTTGTTTTTGTTTTTGAGACAAGGTCTCATTATGCAGTTCAGACAAGCCTTGAACTTACTTTGTAGCCCAGGCTGGTCTCAAACTTGCAAGGATCTTTTTGCCCCAGCCACCAAGTGCTAGGATTACAGGCATACAACACTATGCCTAGCCTTGTCTCCTTTTTTCTCTAGTATTTATCTTTTTGGTTGAATTCAGTTCCTATTAATACAGATTCCATGGTACTAGAAAGCTGATAACATGGTTGATTTTAACAGTTCAATATTTAAAAAAGCTAAGACAGTTCTCATTTCTTGGGGGAAGGAAGATAAGCATAAAATGGTAATTTAAATCACGAAAGAAGTACAGTGAATCTTAACTTTCATCCAAAACATTTTCTACCTGGCACTTAGCAAATGCAGGATATACAGCCTTGGACAGAACATACATGGTTCTGATCTGCTTGAAGCATAGATCAATAGAGCTGAAAACAGATGCATGTGTATTTACAGATGTGGTAGGTGCCATGAAAACAAACAGGTGCTGAGATAACAACGGGAAGTCTGCTTGCAGTAAGGCAGTAATGTTTGGTTACATTTAAAGTGATTCCTAAGGGTAAGACAACTGGGGGAAGAACAGTCAAGTGGAATAGAATTTGCTCTGGACAAGGGCCAGGGATATAGCTCAGACACAGTGCCTACATGGCAAGTGTGAGGCCCTGAGTTTGATTCCCAGTAACAGAAATAGAATTTGCTGTGGATCTAAAACAAGCAAGACCTTGGTGTTTTTGAAAATACTGGAAGAAAGTAGGAGGTAGCCTAAGATGCAGTTAGGGAGGTAGGCTAGAGCCGATTCAGTGGAGGGCCTCAGTTTGAGTTGTATACTTACTGAAGATCTCCCTGGCTATTCTACAGGCTGACAAGAAAGAGTGGGGAAACCAGTGGTGAGATTCTGGGAATTTAGATAAAAGACAATAGTAATTTGCAGAGTAAAGGCAGTGGAGATAGATGGAGCTGCAGATGTTTTTGAAACAGCAGTGATAGAACATGGGCTGGCCAGATAGCTCAGCAGACTGAAGCACCTGCTTAGGCAGAGCTCAGCGGCCGGGCTGGGGTTCAATCCTGGCATGCTGTGCCAGCCCCATCCCCGGGGCGCACTGAGAAGGCAATTGAGACTCGGTGTGGTAGTGCACACCTGTTATCCCGGTGCTGGGAGGCTGAAAACAGGAGGGTCACTATGAGTCCAATCTAGTGAGTAGTGAGACCCTGTAGACCTTGTACCAAACACATTAAAAAAGTGATAAGACTTGATTAATTGAATGTAAGGTCTGAGGATGATGGTGGAATCAGATTAAGTAGGAACATTGATTAGATACACCTAGTGTGAAGATCGGAAGACAGATCTGCACTAGAAATGTGTGCGCTGATGTGGTGATGCCTGATTGTAATCCCAGCGCTGGGGAAACTGAAGCAGGATGATTGCAAGTTCAAGCGTCGCCTGGGCAGTGTAACCTAGCAAGACCCTGCCTCAAAAAAAAATTTTTTTCTTTAAAAGGACCAGATATGTGGCTCAGTGGGAAGGCCCTGGGTTCAGTCACTACAACAACAACAAAAAGTGGAGGGATGGGGAGGAAATTGGATAGTTGTCCCTTTAAGGAGGGGAGTTTTAAAACATGAACAGTTATAGCACCTGGGACTAGAAGAAAATCAGAAAAGTATGGTATTTATATAAGGTAAGAAAAGAGTAGTTGAAGTAGGAAGTGGTTAACTATGTCCATGTGGCTGAAAAGCAGGGTGGGATGAAGGCGATTCATACCCTATTTGACAATCAGGAGGTCTCTGGTGACTTTAAAAAGAGGGGAAGAATAGGGTTGAAGTGAAAGAAATGGAGATCCTGATCTGGAAAGATAAAATCTGTTCACAGGGTGCTATGTTGCCTACCTGCCCCTGGGGAGTGAAGGAAAGGCTTTTTAAAGGAAGTGACCACTGACAGGATTCTTGAAGAATGAATAGGGGCGTGTAAGGGCACAAATGACAGCAGTTTGAGGTGGAGTAAAGCAGCAGGGTGAAGGTGACAATAAACTGAATAGGTGGGTAGGAGCCATATTGGCCAGAACCTTGCCTCCCATAATCAAATAGTCTTTTTTTTTTTTTTTTTTTTGTGAGTCATTTCTGTGTATCAGAGACTGCACCAGTCTTTCTGTAAGGCTGTCTCACTTTAATTCCTAGATGTCCTGTGGGTTATGTTTTTATTGATAAGGAACCCGAGGTTTGCAGTGGTTCAGTGATTTGCCCCAGCTGTCACAGGAGTATGTGACACAATCAGGCTTTGAAGTGAAGTTGATCTAATTCTTCTCTACTATTCTTTCATGGTTGAGGAGCTTTATCCTTTAAGTATTAGCAGAAACAATTTTTTTTTTTTCCTGTAAAACTTTATTCCAGAGGGGCTCAGTCCTTCTTGGCAGCTGCCTTCCTCATGGCAGCCAGCATGTTGCTCAGCTCCTCACGATTCCTCTTGGCTCAGATGTGTGTCCCCACCCTTTTCTTGATGAACTTGAGGGCATGCTTGTCCTTGGAGACCTTGAGCAGCTCCGTGGTGCACCGCTCACTCGCTTGTAGGGGGCGAAGCTGCACACCTCCCAGATCATGTCCCGCACGAACTTGGTGTTTGCCTCGGTTTGCTCACATTCTTAGTCACCTTGTGGCCCTCGTTGAGGCCCACAGCCATGGGATAGCAGAGGGCCATGGCTACTCTTCTTGGATGGTTGCTGTGGCAGAAGCTAACAGAAACAATTTGAAATTTTTTTAAAGTAAACATAGCCTCAGTTTTAGAATTTATATAGCACTTCAGATTTCGACTTTTCTTGAAAAATTGGAAGAGCTATTGAATTGTGTAAAGAAGGAATTTGAGAGAAAGGAAGTATGTATAGCAAGCTGGGTTTGTGCTGTTAGTCCTTGCAGTATTTGACAAGCATCTGAGTCAGTGCAGTACTAGCAGTAAAGATGAAGTGAAGGAGCAGATTATATGTGTGGCTTGTATGGGTCTGTCTGTCCTTCTATGCATCGACATATTGCAGGACAGATAGACCAAGAGTCCTTTGCAGACATGGTTCAAATCTCAGGGATGTCTTAGTGGAAAAAATCTTGATTGTAAACATAAACTTGGAATCATCAGCAAAGAAGTAGTAATAAGACCACAGATAAGGTTTTTTAAAATATAATCTTTCTAAAAATAAAATAAAAATAAAAATAAATAAAATATAATCTTTCTAAAAATAAAATAAAAATAAAAATAAATAAAATATAATCTTTCTAAAAATAAAATAAAAATAAAAATAAATAAAATATAATCTTTCTATCCCCACGTTTAAATTCATTCAGTAGATCCTCCATAAGATCATTGCAACAATCTTCTAATTGACCCCCTTTAACAACAATGTTGACTACCCCTAGTCCTCAAAATTTTCTTACTTCCTCTTGTTTATATATATTTGATGACTTTTCCTTTCAAGTACAAGGAAATGCATGTTTCTCAGAGTGTTGTAAAAAGACTTTATGAGGGCAGGGTGTGGTGCTTATGTCTGTAATCCCAACACTCCTAAGGCTGAGGCAGTAGGATCACCTCCATGGTGAGGCCAGCCTGGACTACATAGTGAGTTCAAGGCCAGCCTGAACTACATAAGGAGACGTGCCTTAAAGAAAAAGTCTTTCATGATGTAGCCCCAGTTTTCCTTTTCTGCTTCTTTCCTAACCGACCTATCACATTTACCCTGTGTTCTGGCTATCCCAGTATTTCCCCCACTGTACGTTCATGCATTTGGCTCAGGTGAACCTCTGTCAATTTCCTAGGTCCTAGAGACAGAATTAATTACTGTTGTGTTTCCCCAGTACGTGATCTCCAGGTCTTGTAACAATTGGCTCGTACCAATGTGTATTTCCCAAATAGACCAAGGAGCCTTTTGCATACACAGTTCAAATCTTGTTCATCTTTGTACACTCAGCGCTTAGCATTTGACTTACTAGAAATTCGAGTATGTAAAATATGTACTGTATAAATAAACGCATGTGGGAATTGAGTGGAAAGTACAGGAAGCCTTCACTGCGATGACATTCTTCCAAGGTACTGCTAGGATACTCCATTGTCTTTATCATTAGAGGCAGCCATTATAAGTGTGTAGTCATCATGGTCATCGTCCTAACACGTTGATCACCTCCTGTGGATCAGGAGGAGTTAAAAGCATACCTGAGGTCATATATCCAGTGAATAAAGAGGCTAAAATACCATCACTGACATCACATTGTTAATGCCATTTATTAAGACCAATGTGGACCTGATGTAATTATAGAATGTGTGCATGTATCAAAATATTACATGAAGGGGGCCCTGGAGGTGGCTCAGTGGAATAAGCGCTTCCCTGGCAAGCGCAATGGCCTGAGTTCAATCCCTGGTTCCGAAAAAAAAAAAAAAAAAAAAAAATTACATGATGCCTCATTTATATTTGGTTGTAATGTTTTAATCTACCAATTAAAACATAAAAGTAAACACACAAATAAAAGACCAATATGAAATGTAGGCCAATGGAGTACCCTTAGGCACTTACAGGTGTAAGTTTGTTTAGTTTTGTTTTCTTCTTTTTTCTTTTTTTTTTTTTTTTTTGGTGGAACTGGGGTTTGAACTCAGGCCTTTGCGCTTGCCAGGTGAGCACTTATTCTACTGGGCCATCTCCCCGGCCCCAAGTTTGTTTTTCTGGTCTTCTTAGTTTCCTTTCTTTTCCTCTAAGTTCTCTTCCCCACACACCCATCCATCTCCCTTCCACCAGGACTGACCCACGGAGGTGTAGGCTTTCTAAATGACCTCGAGACAGACAGACCAGGAGCCTTTTTAGTTCTGTGTTTACTGATTTCAGTCTAGGGAGATGAGATGAAGAAACATGAGGCAGGTATGAATTGTGAGGCTTCACCCCAACTTACCCTCCCAGGTTCTGTCTAATCCTGAATTCCATTGCTTAAGTAATAACCAGGATGTACATTAATCTTTCTTCTCCTCTTTCCTCCTGAAGAGGACCCTCTGCAGGGTCCCATTTTCAAGGACCCAGATTCTGCATTTGCCAGGTTCCTCCTCAGAACAGCCTAGTCTTGGTTTTTGGGTGTTAAGGTGAGAAAAGAACAGGGCAGAAACCGAGGAATGTCTGGAATCTGCCTGTGTGACTCAGAACATTGACTTATTCCTACTAGTTAAGATTCCTGCCTAATAATCAGTCACCTGTGTGGTGTCTTAGGCATTACAAAATACATTGAATCTTAGTTTGTTTTATGTCTTTTAGGCTTTAGAAAATCTGCGTGTTTACCTGTGTGAGAAACTCATAGCTGAGAGGCATTTTGATCATCTACGTGCAAAGAAAATACTCAGTAGAGAAGACACTGAAGAAATTTCTTGCCGAACATCAAGTAGAAAAAGGGCTGGAAAATTGTTAGACTACTTACAAGAAAACCCCAAAGGACTGGACACTCTCGTTGAGTCTATTAGGAGAGAAAAAACACAGAATTTCCTAATACAGAAGATTACAGATGAAGTGCTGAAACTTAGGAATATAAAACTGGAATATCTGAAAGGTAAGACGCCTCAGGTATCAAGGAACTGACTGCTTTTTAAAACATGCAAAAGCAAAACAAAGGGCCGGGGAGATGGCTCAGTAGGATAAGCGCTTGACTGGCAAACGCAAGGATCTGAGTTCAATCCCTGGTTCCGCAAAAAAAAAAAAAAAAAAAGCAAAACAAAATCAGAAATTGCCATTTTGCTTTCAAAGTTTATGCTTCAGGATGACATTTGATTTACATTGTTTGCTATGCATTGTAGCATTGCATTTTAAAAGTGAAATACCTCCCAGTCTTGTATTGTTATTCATCTGACGAAACCCATATACAGACCACTTCCTATAATGAAACCCCAGGATATACAAAGGTTCATTTATAAAGTCAGTATGTGAAATTAATTTATTCAACAGTAACTTCTGAAAATACTGTCACATACTGGTGATACATTTTGGTCCCCCTCGTAGCTCTTCTACCAGTTGATGAAGTAGTTACAAAGATACAAGAACTTTTGAACACCAGAACCCAGCTCTGTCTAGCAAGATGGGAGTGGCATGATGGAAGTGGGATGAAGGGGACAGCAAATCTAGCTGTCCCCTCTCACCTTCCCTACAGAGTGCAGACTCACTAAAATGCCTGCACTACTGAAAGCCCCTGCCCACCCCTGCTTTCTGTCTCCAGAGCATGCAGATGAAGGGTGCCTGTGATGGGGCTCTACACCAGCTGTTTTTTGTTTTGTTTTTTTTTTTATACTAAGTATTTTATTGTACGTTGGCACCAGCATATATAAAATACCCTCGTGAAATAGAAATTCATGAAAATCCAGAGAGGTAGATGTTAAGGACTGACAAAGTAGAAGTTTGTGTGTTGTGGCACATGTTAAGAAAGGGGAAGTTGTTGCACAGGCTTCAATTTTCTTTTTCTGAATAGTCACTGGTTGGTTAAAAGTGGTCTGGGAAACTCTTAAGAATTCATTCGACTACAAAAAGGAACAGACTTTCTGCGGTCTGAAGGGATTTGTACTTGAGGATACTCCAGTCAGCAGAGGATCATGCTGAGCATTCTGCAGGCAGAACTGTTTTAAGTCCGCAGCACGCTTGAGCCCGGCCTCCAGCCGGAGCTGCTGAATCACTTTCTTGATGGCGGCGACGCTGGAAGAGCCAGACATAGTACCACACTAGCTGTTCTTAAAATTGAACATAGAGGAAGAATAGCTTGGGTGTTGCCCTTAAGGAACTCATGGTCTACAAGTTCTTGTTGGGACACGTTGGAAGTTTCCCCTCGTGAAGCACATGGGAGGGGGGAAATTCTCTAGCTTTGGACAGAAATGTGGAGCATACTCTAAAACTGAAAAAGAAGCAGGACAAATGACATACAAATGTACCCTACAGGTGTTGGCCAAAGCTTGTCAACTTGGAAGTTATGCCTGTAGACAGATTGAATATTTACCAGTCCTAACAGAAAGATACCTTTGTGTTTATTCTTTTAATTTTAAAGCTAATTATTGACAATATTTTTAGCATATGCTAAGATTATTTAATGGAAATGAGCGCTGTTGTTGTATAAGTAAACACAATCTATTTTATTGTAGTTCTTACTTTTTTACAAAGTAGTCCTGGGGTAGGGGGCAGGTCTTACCTGTTCTTTGCTTCTGTTTTCTCATCTCTGATAGTATTTGGAGACTTTGTGAGGTGGCCACAAAAATCCCTTTGATTACTAACACTTCATGATTCAAGAGTCATAACTGTCATGGTTTGACTCAAAATTTCAGAATATGCGACACTAAGCAATTGCCGTAGTAAACTACACCCCAACACTCGTGTCATTTTGAGACCAGGTCTCACGAAGTTACCCAGACTGGCCTCAAACTTTCGCTCTTCCTGTCTCATCACCACTGGGACTACAGGCCTGCACCCCTGTACCTGCCTAAATTTTGGCTTTATCAGCTAATATTTTTTGTGTAAAATGCTAAAGAATATTTCTTAATTGTCAGTGCAGTTAACCTGATGAACAATTTTGTGACAGAAGTGTACACTCAATGTGAATTACTGTGTGTCATTCAGCTTTCATAAATTTATCTAGAAAATGTAGGCACATGGTTGCTCAGAAGAGATTTGAAATTGATTATGACTTAAGACTGAGATTTATGTGCTGGTTGGTAGCTAACTAGCTTGAAGTTACAAGGTAAGAGTAGACTTATCTTTTGGTTTTGTTTTTCGGGGTGGGGTAGTTATTTTTTTCACTCACATCGGAATAATTTTGTTGTAGGACTGAAATGTAGCAGCTGTGAGCCTTTCCCAAACGGAGCCACGAACAACCTCTCCAGATCAAATTCAAACGAGAGTCATTTCTCCGAGAAACTGGGGGCGTCCACTGCCATGTACCACCCCGAGGGGGAGTCCAGCACAGCGCCCTTTTTCTCTCCGGTTTCTTCCCTGAACTTGCCTGTCCTGGAAGTAGGCAGAACTGAGAACAGCGTCCTCTCCTCGAGTGCACTTCCGAGGCCGGGGGACCCAGGAGCCCCCCCTTTGCCACTGGAGCTGCAGTTAGAGGAAGGAGGAACTTGTGGGAACTCAAGCGAGATGTTTCTTCCCTTACGGTCACGCGCTCTCTCACCACAATGACACTTGGCTGCCTTTGAATTTTTTTAACAGTGACAAAAAAATGTTTTAAATGGTATCAGTCTTTCTATAAAGCCATTCTAACGACTTACTTACATTAGATCTATCTTTTAAAAAGCACAGCATAAGCCTGCTTTGTAAATAAGTACTTCAAAAGAAACATTTTTAGGCTAACTGTAAATCATGTTGGTCATGTATTTCTCAGTATTTTTTGTGAGTGTTCCTCTTTTTATGATGTTTTAGTACTTTCAAATTTTTTATGTTGTAAGATGAATTTTAATAGGGACCATTGCTGTGTTTGAAAATAAACTTTTAGGCTACAAATAAGGTTTCTCTGAGCTCTGGTGGTAAATTTTTAGCATCCAGCTGTTCCTGTTTGGTAATAAAGCAAGCCACAAGTGGGCAAACTGCCTCTGTGCTGAGGAGAATCTCTTTCTGCTCAGTTGGTTTTACTGGTCACTTGCTAATACTGAAGGAATACATGATGGAGTTTGAGCCCCCTAAGATTTGTTTACTAAATTTCATTCCTTATTAACCTTACTAAATGATAACTATTTTCTTTAGAATTTTTTTAGTCTTTATCATTTGCATTCCTAAAGACATGGATCATTGTGAAAGCCTCAATTGTTACATGTAATTTGATAAGTTTTGAAAAACTTCTCTGTATTTTTCATTGTCTTTTAATGAGTTTCACTGTACAGTTGAAATAACTAGAAGAGATTTTGGGGTATATTGTGTCAGTTCTGCTTTTAATACAATTCTAATCAAGTAGGCCATTGGCTAGATTTATCCCTTTGTGATACAAGAAAATTTACTATTTTACACATTTATAAATCTTACACTCATTGTTTTCATTGAAATTATAATTTGACATGTTTCCTGAAATTAATCTCTATATTTCTATTACTAAAAACTATAAATGGAAGTTTTCTGTTAATAAAGTTTTTTAATGTGCTGTATTTTATTTTATTTTATTTTATTTTATTTTATTTTTTAATCCTGTCTCAGGTTTATTTGTACAAAGAGCATAGGAGGACACCAGCACCCCACAGATGGCACCCCAGGTTATGTTATACCAGTCACTCTGTTCTTACATTGGCAGACAAGATGCTTATACTGTGCAAACTTCTTGGGGGCCTGGGCTGGAGCAGAAGCTGGAGCCTGGGCCTTCATCCAGCAAGGCCTGCAACCTCTGGGCTATGCAGGCACAGATGAGCTTCCCAAGCTTGGGGTGGGCAGTATAGGCAAGTCGAGTGAGCCTGCGCTTTACTCCCTTTGGAATGATCTTGGGCTTGACCTCCTTGGGCTTTGACGAAGGCCTTGATAGCCTTGGCGAGTGCATTCATGGCCTTGGCATTGTTTGCTTGCATCTTCTTGAAGCCCTTCTTGTTGTGCTTCTTAGTAAAACAGATGTTCCTGAGGTACTGGGGATCTACCCCCTTCAGAGATTTGTATCTTTGTGACTGAGGTTTCTTGATGTCATTTCTGTGCCATTTTTGGGACTGGCTGTGTGTGGTGTGGTTCTTGGACTTAGCCCTAACTGCACTGTAACTGTAGCGACTGAGGGCCTGGAACTTGGACATGAAGAGAAAGCCTGCAATGCAGCATCTTTGTTTCTTTTAGTGGGTGAATTGAGTCCATTTACATCGGTTATAATTGAAATGTGCTGACTTTGTGTTTGACATGTTATTTACCTGCTGTTGTACACCCCTTTTTCTCCTGTGTTGGTTTGCACTGTTTGATGGGTTTTTTCCACTCTCATTCATGGAGTTGTGATTAGTCTGAGATCCCTCTCTAGAATATCTTTTAGAAGTTTGTGTAGCATCGGCTTTGTTGTCATGAAATTCTTTAGCTGCTCTTTGTCATGGAAGTATTTCACTTCTCCATCATACCTGAAAGAGAGTTTTGCAGGGTATAACAGTCTGGGTTGGAATTTGTTTTCTTGTAAGACTTGAAGTACTTTGCTCCATGCTCTTCTTGCCTTGATGGTTTGTGAAGAGCAATCTGCTGTTATTCTGATGGGTTTTTCTTTAAATGTGATCTGTTTCTTTTCTCTAGCAGCTTTTAGTATACTGTTCCTCCACTGAATTTCTGGGAACTTGATTATTATATGTCTGGGTGTGATTTTAATTGGGTTGACATTCTTTGGAGTTCTATACGCATCAGTTATCTGAATGTCAGATTGCTTCCCCATATTTGGGAAGTTTTCTGCTATTCTGCCCATATTCTTCTTATATCATTTGTACTGACTCCTTCTTTCTCATTGATGCCTATTAGTCTTACGTTGTTCATCTTTGCAGCATCTTGCAGATGTTGAAGTATTTTTTCCTGCCACCTCGTTTTTAAGAGATTGTTTGTTTCCTTTTCACGAGCTGCAATGGTGTCTTCAAGGTCTGAAATACTATTTTCACCCTTATTCAATTGGTTCTGCCAGCTTGTGATTGAGGTTTTTATTTCCTGTGTATTGCTTTGCATCTCCTTCATGCATTCCATTTTTGTTCTATGTTGCTCCTTCAAGGATTCCATCGTTTTTTTAATCTCTATTTTTTTTATCAGTGTCTACTTTAGAAGCATTTAGTAATTCTTTCGTTATAGTTATAGGTTCTTTTCTTATTTCAGAAAACATCTCTGATTTGAGTTCCTTTATACCTTTGTGCAGTTTTTTCTTCTCTTCAGACTCTATTGCAGAGACTTCAGGTGTGTGATTTCCAAATTCTTTGCTATTGTCACCTGCATTTGTTCTGGATGGGCTCTGGGCCTGAGAATGCATTATGCTCTCTCTATTTTGGATAGCACAGTCTTCTGACCTTTGGTATAGAGCTTTGGGGCAGTTACTACCTTAGAACCAGGTCTGGATCTACCAAGTACAAACTTGTCCGGGTGGGTGTGGCTTGGGTCCAGCAACTGTGCTCCACTTCTGCCTGCTGCAGCCCTTGGAAGTGAACCTGCTGTGGCACTCTGGCAAGATTTTCTGCTCCTGGATTAGCTGGATGCATCTTGCTTCTAGCCTCCCTTCAGGGAGTTCAGCCACAGGGTTCTATACAGGACCTGTCGGATGGGGAAAGTTAAACACAGCGGGCCTGTGCGTTGGCTCAAATGAGGATCTGGCTGGCTGGCAGATGGTCCATCTCACACGCTGGGCATGGGCACTGGCTGGTGTGAGGACTGGAGGACCCACGGGTGGTCCCACTCACCTCTGGTCGCCTTCCGTGCCCCAGTTTGTGTGCCGCTTGTTGTATGTTATGAGTTGGTGCACTGTTCTAAGTTGTTTAGTAACTAGTGGCTGTTCCTCGCTGTTTTCGAAATATCTTAAAACATGTTTTAAAATATGGGTAAAGGTGTTTATAGCAAATAGTACTTCAAAGGGTGAGAGAGAAGGCTAGACATGATGGCACATCTATAATCCCAGCCTGCCGGGACGCAGAGGCAGGAGCATTGCAGGTTTTGTTGTTTGGCATCAGGAACTGAACTCAGAACTTTGCACTTGCTAGGCAGGCACTGTACTGCTGAGCTGTGTGCCTGGCCCTGGGATCACAAGTTTGAGCCCACCCTTAGCACCTTAACAACTTTTCATGACTTTGTCTCAAAATAATTTTTTCCCCAGCACCGCCTCCTATATAAAAAATTTTTAAAAGGCTGAGAATTTAACTCAACATGAAGGTCCTTGGTTCAGACCCCAGTACGAGGAAGAAAAAGTGAGCCTGAGTTGCATTTCTTCATGGATTAATGAATTTTTCAATCATAAAGCCTAACATACTGGATTGAAAAAGATTATTTAAAACTACGTGGTATTTTTCAAGCATTTTCAAAAATTATGGAGGGCAACGCACTCAGGACCCATCCTGTCTCAGGAGCAATTCCTTTTCCCCCATAAATTTTCCTACTTTTTTTTTTTTTCCTTTTTTTAATTATGGAGAAAGATCTTTTCCGGGGCTGGGGAGATGGCTCAGT